GTTTTCCAGATTTCCAGTTTTGATGTACATATTTTGTTATCTTATGTACATAGTTCTTGTATAGTAGTAATGTATTCAGTTAAGTTTTGAATTTCCGAGGACGGAAATTTTGTAAGGAGGGAGGATTGTAATATCCCGAGGTATTATCAGTATAAATTACGTTTAATTCCGATATAGTAACGTTAGCGTTTATTATTTTCGGAATTAATCAAGTTCAGTCGGATTACCGAAATTTATTTTCGGCGTACCGATTACGTCCGAAATAATTTTGGTAATTAAGTATTATGTTTAATTTAACAATTAAATATCATTTGAGTGATTAATTGGGATTAATCACATAAATGAGCCATAAAACCCTAAATGTCGTGAGCTTATTCATTTTGCCCTAAGTTTATGTTAAGTCCGTAAGCTTCCCTTCATGTGGGGAAATCATAATTTCTCCCAAATTTTAGTTGGATACGTGGCTTTATTAGAAAGTAATTAGTCATCAAGAGACTCATCATAAGTGTTCCAAGTGGATGGCTCATGAGAAGCCACATATCATCACCATCATCAAACCTCCACGGCCGAGAGTCTATATAAGCTGGCCACTTGAGAAAATTTCGTCATTTTTCCCTTATACGCAGAACAGCACCTCTTCCTTCAAGCTATCAGCAAGTTTACTCAGAAATTCCCTTAAATTCTCCACAATCGCACGGCAAAACCGAAGCCCTATCGCACGGCAAGCTCAAGGACAAGGAGGCACGGCCTATTTTCGATTCCCGTCAAGCGATTGAAGAGGTAATCTCTTCTTCAGGTTATATATATGATAATAAGATCAATTCAGAGTAAAACGTTTGGAGTAATTGCAAGAATTTTGAGAAAATCATGAGAAAGTCGTACTCAAGTCCATGTATGTTATCACCGAACAATTTTCGTTTTCCTCCGACAACTCTCGAACAATAGTCCTCTAAATAATCAGTTTAGTTCATTATAAGTTCAGTGTGATCGAATTGTTGAGCAAGAATAAAGAACAGCCGATGAAATGGCCCCAGCCGGCGCCCCGCGCCTATCGCGCGTAGTCCGGGTAGCCGCGGGCCGAGGCCTATTGTTTCAGTATTGATCAAGTTCTTCCGTGTGATTAGTCCTTAAATAGCTTCAGTTTAATAT